AAAAAAGGGAAATTGAAAATTGCTTCAGTCAATATGAAAATCTTCACGCTCAAGTACCGTGATCTACATACAAAAATAACAACAAAAGAAATTAGAATTCTAAAGAAAATAAATATCAAGGTATGCATCGAGATTTCATAAACTGGTCTCCAAAATATCAATTAGCGCTGAAATGCGAAAGCAAATAGCAACTGAACTGTCGCCAAGCAAACAAATAACGATTACTGTGTACACATATGTATGTACATATGTCGATATGGCTTATATGGAGCACTGTCCTCTAAGGCTAACATACTTGGGGCGATGTCAGCAGCTATTGCTCGTAGCCTTGCACTTTTCGGTGATATGTACCTTTTTTATTCTTTGTATCTATTGGAATTGTGTCAACAGCAAACTGTCGCTAATTTTATTGACAAATATTCAAACCTATGGCTGTTAAACTTTTTTATTGTACTACATATTTATTTTTTTTTTTTTTGCAAACGTTTTTGGAGCGAATCAAATTGCGCAAAAGTCGTGTCTAATGAATTCTCAAGAAAACTCGTTTTTTTGTATAAAAGTTTTGTCGCATTCGCTAATTTATAAAAAAATGGAAAGGTGTAAAATATGTACGTGGAGTAAATGCATACAAATAAAATCTGGAATATCATTGATTGACTACTCCGCGACCACGAGTGAAAATATTAATATGTTATTATTTGCTTTTTTGATAGGCGATATCACGACGTGTGGAAAATTTTGTCCACTCAAAAATTTCGCTTGTTTACTCAATTAAACATTTATGATTCAATAGCAGTATGCCCAGCAAGGTGTAATTTTTTACCTATTTCAAACTTGTCGTACACAGGCTCTTTCTGTTACCACATAGGATTTACATATACAGTATCGGTCATATCTATAGCACGCCATTTCAAGGTGATATTGTGTGTCACTTATGTTTATTTATTAATTTTTAAGAATTTTCAATTAAAATATAGTTCATTCTCAGACAAACCCGATACAAACCCAAGCTTAATAATTTGTAGCAAGCTACAAAAAAGTACAATCAATTTTCACATAAATTTCAAGCTTTTTTCTCGGAAGTTTTAGAATTTTTTTTGAGTACACAGTTTTTTAGCCCCTTCAATTTTAGTCTGATAATATGCAAATTTGAAGTGGCTACGAATTACCGTTAATTTTTTTTAATTTTTTTTGTCGCATTGGCTTCCATACAATGAATAAACTCAATTTATTTGTATATGGAAGAAATCCGCAACACCTTTGGCGAAAAAAATTCTAACACTTCCGAGAAAAAGGTTTGAAATTTAGGTGAAAATTTGTTGGGCTTTTTTTTAGTTTTCTACAAATTGTTACACATGGGTTTGTATGGGGTTTGTCTGAGAATGAACTGTATTTTAATTGAAAATTCTTAAAAATAAATGAATAAACATAAGTGGCACACAATATCACTTTAAAATGGCGTGGTATAGATATGACCGATACTGTATGTATGCCACTGCTGTATTACACTATATAACAAGGCTTTTGTCCCTGGGTTGTAATTGTTATTTCCTAGTCAGTTAGGTCCCAAAAGTATAGAAAACAGCTATTGTCGCAAGATAACTTTGCTTTTGTGACCATGGCAGAACTACGGCAAAATGGGCTGCAGGATGTCTCTCAAACTCCATATTCTGGATGCACATCTTGACAAATTCAAGGAGAACATGGGAGCATATTCAGAGGAGCAAGGCGAGCGCTTCCATCAGGATATAATGGAATTTGAGCGGCGATACCAAGGACAATACAATGAGAACATGATGGGAGATTACATTTGGGGATTGATTAGAGAAAGTGACTCGCAGTTTAAACGCAAATGTCGAAAAACCACCCGCTCCTGATTTACTTTTATGTTTTTGGTTTTCTGAAGTTTTAATAAAATTTAGTTTTGATTTATATGTGCTGTTCTGTATGATTTTCTCTGTAGTGAAAGACTCAAACACGTTTTTCTCATAATTTTAGCATATTTTAATGAATCACATTGTCCTGGTCACAAAAGCAAAGTTTCCGAGGAATATTAGGTGGTTTCCATACTCTTAAGGCATAACAGACTAGGAAATAACAATTAAATCCCAAGGACTGAGAAATTTTTTTTTTTTGTTACTTAGTGTTATCTTTCGGCTTAACAGCACAAAGAAAGCTTGACGTCAAAAAGCTGCTATCTCAACAGACTGTCAGCATCCTTGTCGAATCTCAACCTGCTCACTTTCAAGATAAAAAAGACCCGAAAACTTTATCTGAAAGTTAGGTGTCTTACGGAAGGCTTCAATACTAGCGTAAACTCCAGTAAGCTAGGATAAGATGGCTAAAATACACTTACAGTGGCGGTCAAAAATGGATGAATAGTGTTTAGTTTTTGATAATTACAATGTTTTTCAACCCATAATTTTGTTCATATTTTTTTATAAAAATATGGTTCATATGGAAATAAGTGCAAAACGCCGTCAACAAAAAAAATAATAATATAAAAATTAATGCGATTTTATAGCCGCTCAAGACTTGCACTCATTTTACTAGAATTTTATAAGCTTGTTGTTTAGATACCAATTTTTGGAATTTTTCTAAGTTGTGCACAAAATTGGAAGTGTGATTTATATAGTTTTTGTTAAAGCCTGAACCATATTTTTTGTTTAAATATAAAAAGAATTTTTGCTTGAAAAACATTGTAAATATTAAAAACGAAACACCATTCATCCATTTTTGACCGCCACGGTAAGTTATGGAGGGATAACTTTTCCGTCCTTCTAAATAGCATCAGGCTTCAAAACAGCGGTCAAAGTGAACCTGAGCCCTGCGGGCTCATTGAACCACAATAGTGAGGTACGAATAAAAATGCCGCGGCTGAAAACAACAAATCTGGAGCTTACATTCAAACAGTTGAACTATTTAATTTATTCGGCGAAGGGTTGGTAAGGCGCAGGCTGAATACGCATGGCAGTATGCATGCCTGCAAACTGGACCTTAACAGGGCAATTCTGGCTAAGATTAAAAAGTCTTTCGTAAGACAAATGAAAGACAGATGACAAGGAAGTCCGAAAGACCTTTGTTATTCTGAAAAAAAGCTGTCTCGTTCACCACTCGTGGTGAAAAGCTATTTTGAGAGAAAGTACTAGTACATATTTAGTTCGCCGGAGAGGATTGTTTTTTAATTTTTTTTTAATCTACATGTTTTTCATTCTTTAATATAAAAAATCTATTTTTTAATTTAAATTTTAGAAACATATTTTATTTTTCAAAAAAGGTAATTAAATTTTATTCGTAATTTAATTGTCTTTAATGTTTTGGTTTGTTAATGTTTTAAAAAGAGTATTTTTTTTATTTAATTAAATTTTTGGGAACTTATTTTTTTACTTTTTTTCTTTTAGTTTTTAATTAAATTTGCATATAATTTTAAAATTTTATTGTTTTAAAACGAAAAATATATTTTTTATTTGAATATATTTTTAATATAATTTAATTGTTAAGTACTGGGTCATTCCATGTGAAAGTGGAAAACGTCATACATTTTACAATGCCCTAATGATCTCTATTTCAGTAGTAACCTCTTTTTAAATAACTAATCAGTTGACGGATATTAAAAAAATAAAAAGAAGTAATTTTTATCTATGGAAACTTCTACTTCATGCATAATTACTTTATACCAGTTACGAGGACATGTCCCACCAGTCACAAATTTAAATATTTCTCAATATTTATATGAAGCTTATATAAGCTTAATTTTTATTGAAAACGAAAGCGTATAGTTCATATTTTACAACACAAAAATATCTTACCCGAAAATTAAGTGTTTTGGATAAAATTCATCTTTGAGTGCACAAAGGTAAAATAGAGTTATTTTCAGTGTCCCACCCACCAGTTATTCAAATGATAGTTACATAAAACTGAGAAATCGTTTTGTATTTTTCTTAAAGGAATTTTATACATTAGCCATGTTCTATGTAAACAATATCTTTCGCTGCTGTATAATTTCCGGCGACATAGTTATAATACGTAAGTAAAAATTAAATTGTTATTTGAAAAAAAATAAAAAAATAAAAATACAATGAAAGTTTTTTTAATTTAACGTACCTAAAGCGTTTAATCCATAATGCTGATAACTGCCAGCACCCATTGCAGAACCAATGTTAATACCCGAATTAAGACCACTATTTATTGTAGATGAAAGCGGCGAAGATTGATTAAGTTGACCAAACCCTTCATAAAGTTTAGTAATTGCAACATTAATGTTAGATAGATGATTTTTGTAGTTAAAGTACAAATAAAATGTGGAAGAAAAAGAAAGAAGAAAAAGAATAGATGAAAGCAGGTTAGTCGACTGTTAGATTAACTAATCAAATCAAATAATTAATTTGCCTACTCGTAATTAGTTCTAAAATTATTGTAGTCTACAAAATTCCAAAATAGGTACATACATATATACATACATACAAACTATAAATTCCTCTCATCTTGCAGTTATGTACATCAATCAACTGACACTCACCTGCAGTCATCGGATTTACGCCCACGCCCCAACGATCACCACCAAACATGCCGGTTCCACAGAGACCCTCACCCATGGCAATATTGGTAATGTTGGCGCCGAATGGTGGCAAACCGTGCGAAGGCAATAGTGCGCCTGGTGTGCGGAAGACATTTGTTGTCTTCTTGCGCTTCTTCCACTTGGCGCGGCGATTTTGAAACCAAACCTGGAATGTAGAAAATTGGTTTCATGTACAACATAAAATATGTGAGTACTCGTAATATTCAAAGTGTATTAGGAGAAATCTATTAAGTTAATCAGTTGTGGAATTCGCATAAAGATAAATGCTCGTATGCCTGAAAGCAGGGACCGAACATAACGGTTATTGGTGAAAATTATCATGGAAAACTTCACCATGAAGGAAATGCTTTACAACTAAGTGATACATACCAATCGATTTCTTTTTTCACCAAGACTCAAATTTGAAAATAAATTTTTATTTGCAATTCTTATGCAAAGTTAAAAAAATAACAATTATTTTTGATTTTTATATTAAAAATCTAAAATAACAATTATTTTTGATTTTTATATTAATACGGATTATTCTCTGATAACAGTTATTGACGACTTTTATTTAAAAAAGTCATCAATATGAATCAGTCGCCGACTTTTATTTTTTAAATCATTCGTATAAAAGTCATTAACATTTTTCGCAGTTAAGAAGGTGTTGAGAAACAAAAGTTTACTAAGACTTATGCAAATGACTTTTATTAGTATGAATTAAAAAGTATAGGTCAGTGACTGATTTTTGTTCACGACTTTTATAAATAAAAGTCTTCGATAACTGTTATCTAAGACATTTAATTTAAAAATCAAAAATAACTGTCATTTGCAGATTATTTAGATAAAAATTAAAACTAATTGTTATTTTGGATTTATAAAGTAAAAGTCAGAAATAGCGGTTAATTAAGACATATACTATGCATGTATGTATGTGCATTTATTTAGGAGTACATACATTCATACAAATTTATGTACATACATCAGTGTATGATTGCGCCATTGTTCAACAAGCTGAGATAACATAACTTTAATCAAGATCAATTACCGGCCTCGACATGACCAGCAGTAGCCAACTAACTACAAACAACTCTAACAATATGTTTTACAATAAATAATCACCATTCATACCCAGATGCGAAATTGTATGTACTTGTAGCAACATACTAGTTTGTGCGAACCTATGTATGTACATACGTAACTAGATACATTGTACATATGTATGCGTGTATGTACAAAGTGATGCAAAATCTTGTAATCCCATACAATCCTTAACCCATCCACCGCAAATCGTCACTCAATCAACCAAATAAACATCGTTGTATAAGAAACATACAGGTGTGTTCATGTGTATATACATACCTTAATATACATATATACATATGGGTCAATCCATGTTAAAACGACCAAATCTGGTATCCTATCCATTAATAGAACGCTTGCTGAAGTAAATTTTTGTCAAGGTCGCCACAAGTTCAAATTCAGAAGATTCGTATTGCATTTTCAGGTTTATTCAATAATTTTTTTCCTACTTAGTCTTCAACTAACCACGAACCTGACGTGATGGAGGCTAGCTAACCTCGGATTCGCATTCAGCGTGTCGAATAACATAGGGATTTATAGGTTTGGTTTGATATGGAGAAACTTTTTTTTGTAAAACTGTGTTATTATAGCTATAAAAATGGTTCTGTATCGGTTTGAAGATGATATTTAGGGCTAATAAGGAAAATTATATGTAGGTATACAAAAATTTAGAGAATTTTGAAATTATGAAATCGTTGAAGAAAAAACTTGTAAAAAATGTTGACTAATCTTTTTATAAATCACAAAAAAATCACAACAAAATATACATCACAAAATTTCCTGAAATTTTCAAGGTGTTTTTT